TAGTCCCAAGCTATAGCATGGCCAGCCAACATACTTAAGATCGTTGTAGTAAATACAAAGTTACCTAAGGTATTTTGTGCGAAAAAATGACAAAGAACTTGAAAATATGTGCCTGCTATTGCTGCAATGCCACTACAAAACGTGGAAAATGAAGAAAAAAGTCTTTAAAAACCTACAGCGACATATTAATGCCCTGAGAGGGCTATGAGCTATGAGACCATACTCTTCCAAAGCATGGTTTGCTCTTCTGGATGTAGCTGTGCCCTAAAGTGGAGCCCTTTCTGCCCCCTCCTCCAAATATCGGAGGGCTCTGGCACACCTGTGCTAGCGTAAGACACACGGTAAGCCATGGAATACTGCAGGTAGATGAAGGTTTCTCCAAAACCAGGTGATAGGAGGAGGAACTTTCCCAGTGTGTGTGGTTATTCTGACCCCAATTTTCCTGTGCGCTTATCCACTCATATTAACAACTTTGAGGCGATGCTTTAGTAATAAGGTGTTCATATAATAAACACTACCTGCAGGAGTAGTCCTTATGAATTCACTACATGCAAGTTAGGACGGAGGTGCAGATACTCTACATGTACCCCCCAAAGTCATGGTTAAGAACAACACTTTTAAAAAGCATGCTACATCTCTTTAGGCCCACATAACGTGAACTACTGTCCACTTTTTTTTTCCTAGGGCTTGTTAACTGCTAGCAGGCCTGCTTATGATCTTTCTACCATGCCTTTTGGATCCTTTCATTGCCTCTCTTGTATCAAACATGAGCTTTGCATCTATATTTTCAATGCTGTCAATAGCCTACTTCATCCTTATCTATTTTCTGTCACTACAAAAAAAAAATTAATGACAATTTGATTAGGCTTCTGTAGTTCATCTGCTGCTTTTTCAAATATCTTTGTGCTTTCTTCCATGCTGTCCTTCTTGCTAGAGTTTTCTTTCAACAGCCACAAAACCGATTAATTTTTTTCATCAAATCCAACCTTATGTCTTCTTTGCCATGAAGTACACACAGAAACAAGAGTTCTGCTGATGGTGTGTCACAAACTGTGCCTTACTGGCTGATCAATACAGTCTCATTGTTTCCCTCATCTGTCTGTAGCCATCTGCTGTCTTTTGTCTTACACTTTTGAGCTCTTCAGGGCAGGAATTATCTTTTTGCCCTATATTTCTATACAATATATCATCATAATCATAGTCCAAGATTAAGGCTGCTAGATAACATGATAATACAAATAAATTATAACAATGGCAAAATTTGCCATTCAAAGTTCTTTGCAGATTTTTTTTTTTAATCTAAGTCTATGAGGTGGTTCAGCAAAAACATCACCAATTTCACTGTTTTTTCAGCGGCTCTGAAAAAGGTTTAGGACAGCAGTAGATGGGAATATTAATTCTTTTAGTATGGAGCTGGATCAGGCTCAGCAGGTCTGACAGCCTGTCTCCTTTGTAACTCCTCCTAAAGGCAGGAAAAGGACTCTCACGGGAAATGAATCAGGCCCTTCGGAGCCCATGAGGCAGCAGCCAAGAGGAGCTGTGCTATTGCCTGGCAAGACTGGTGGATCAGATAGAGGACCACATATCAACATTTTTGTCATAATCTCTAACATAAATACGCTATATTTCCTGCTTATTTTCATTTTAAGGTAAACATCAAAAAAGTTAAAGGTATGAAACAGGGTCATAATAAGAGAAAACCCAAGATAATTTCCACAGAAATCATGGTTAAGGCAGACTACAGTGAACCACAGATGCAAAATTATAAATATTACAAAATGTGTATTTATTTGCAAGAGGCCTAAATTTCAGTTACCGCTGAGAATCCTCACTCCAGGGGCCTCTCTGTGCCTACATGCTCACTTATGAGACTGTGATATGTTGGGGGGGGGTAATTTTATCTTGCGCTGAACAGCGAAGGTGTTAGAAATTACCCGTGTTTTCAGAGCCCAGCTACAGCAGTGACTACCTGACTCAGCTCGCAAACTAGAGCCACAGCATCAAATTTCCCAACCCACTTAATTTGAAAGCCTGCCAAGATAGGTGAAAGACCTTATAAATATGTAAAGCAGGAAGTTCAAATTACACAGTGATGTAAATTCCCAGTGATTGATGCCCTTTTAAAAACAATAAAAATCCTCGAGAAAGTACAATGTTGGTAAACGTGCTTCCCTCCCGCTGCTGTCTGACGGTACCGTGAGGAGTTTGGCTGATGTATTGTACTTTTCGTGCGGATTTTATTTTGGATTTCTACCACTTCCTGGAGGCCAGGGGGAGGCACAGTGGGAGGAACCAAAAAACTCGGTGCCACAGCCATTTTGTTTGTGGGCAGCATGGTAGAATTCTGTCAGTCAGTATAAGGAGGGGTTTTTAAAACAGTATTTATGGAAAAACTATTCCTGCCGTAACGGATGTATCTGTTGAATTTAGTGTTAATTTAGTTCTTTCACAAGGTAGGTATTTATAATTGTACGTAAATTGAGTATTTGTTGGGATTCCAGCCTCCCCACTTTCCAGGAATCATGGATTTTGTTCCAGGCATGACTGGCTCTTTCGGATGCTGCGAGGCTGCCGGAGTGCGGCGGGCGGGGGTGCGGGGGTGCCGCGGGGGGGGCCGAGGGATGCGCCGGGCGGCACAAACTTGCTGCGGGGTTCGGAGTGGGGGCGGGGGCGGGGGGAGGGACGGAGGGAAAACGACGAAGTCTCGGAATTATTTTCTCCAGCTGTCTTTCTTTATTAATTCTCAAGAGGCGGCTGCTCTCTCTCTCTCTTCGAGGGGGAGGATGAGGCGGGGGGTTGCGCGGGGAGAGCCGTAGTTTTGCAGTGTCACCGAAAACCAGCGCTAGACTTTGGTCCTGTGTGTTCCAGAGGCGGGTGTAAAATGGCACACTGCATTTTTCCAGGCGGCGGCGGAGGGGGGGGAGCGGGCGGGGGCGCCGCTGCCCGCGGAGCCCATCGAGGCGCCGCCGGCCCCGGCAAAGTTGTGACCCCGGAGGCACCGGGTCCCCCGCCCCGGCTGCGGCCGCCGCCGGCATCGCCCGCCGACCCTCGGGAAGCCGCCTCCTTCCTCACCCGGCCATCCTGGCGGGGTGACGGGGAGGGGAAGAAAAAAAAAAGAGAGAGAGGAAAAAAAAAAAAAAAGAAAGAAAAGTCTCACTTTCTGCATTTGCGAAATATTTTAAGGATGTTCGGGGAGCCCTTTGCAGCATGGAGATGGCTGGTTGTAGGAGAGCGAGTATGCAGTCCATATTGTTACAGCCCTTTTGCAAGGGCTGCCTTCTCCCAAGGTAAGTTTGTGGTTTTAACCAAAAATATTCGTTTCTGCGGGTTTTTGGCTTGTGTTGGTGCTGGGGGGGGGGTTTCGTTGTGTTGATGAACAAAACGTAGCCTTGTATTTTTCATAGCTTTGATCTCGTGTATCCCACCCAACGGTGTCTCCTTAATAGCGACAATTACTGAAGTCAGTTTTTTTTCCTCTTTAAAATTTTATACACGCGAAGCTTAACAACAATTTAACTTCAGTTTAAGAGTATAAGAACTTAAATATTTTCCAGATGGACTTGGTTTGGTTTTGGGTTTTTTTGGGGTTCCAGCTTTTTGTTGGGGGGGGGCGGGGAATTCTTTACCGAGTAATAAACGGATCCAGGACCAAATATGTGACTGTCTTTATAAATATAATGCAGCTCTCGTGTGTAAGGAAGAACATTATGTTGCTACAGTATGGTCTGGTGGTGGCTAAAAGAGTTTACAATGCCATTTGTGATGGCTCTTGATGGATTACTTTGGTCTAAAGTACGAGGGAAAACTGCCCTTGGTATGGTGAAGGTGGAGATGGACATAACAGGGTTTATATTAAGTTGTGTCTCTTACTAAACAGTGACCTTTTTATTTACAAATTAGCGCTCTTCTGGTAATTAGCTTAAAGCATTAGTTATATAAAGGTTCTTATTTCCCTACACTTCATTTAGATGTCTTGGTGTGGGGTTGTTTGCTCTTTTTTGGCGGTGTGTGTGAGTGGTTTGTTTGTTTGTTTGTTCTTTTTCCTCCAAGAAGGTACATTTGGGAGACATTTTGTAATTTTTGGCATTTTTCTAGGCTCTTTCCTTTTTTTTCCTTTTCTTTTTTTTTTGTCACCCGGTGGGAGATCTTTTTTGTTTTGCATTGCTCTGTGCTGGTGGCGCTGTGGGGCTCCGAAACAATTCGTGTCCCTGGCTCTAAAGGGGGAGGGGGCTGGAGGGGGGGGGGAGAAAGGTGGGGCACGTTTTAATCTATTGTATCTTTTTCTTTTCTCTGTATCAAAAGTAACCTCCGATTAGTTAGGAAGACGATGAAATTGTATCTCTGGAAAATTGTAGTGTCGCATGAACTATGGCCCGGCACAGGCATGACCTCACCCTTTCGCTGGTTTGTGTAATGAAGCTGATGCTTAATTTTTTATTTTTTTTTTTCAATCCTGTACGTAGAGTCGTTTTCCTCAGTGATGAGATTTTCGGCCCCACCCCCGAAATGATTTTACAGTGGCTGCAGATGAAAGGGTTTTAAGTGATTTTTTTTTTTTTTGCGGCCAATATGGAAGGCTTTGGCACACACTTATTGTGCAACTAGTCCATTGTTTGCTCGTTGTGAAGTTAAAGGTTCCGTTCACCGGTGGTTAATCAAGCCCAGAGGTCTCCCTTGCTCCTGTGCTTGCATATGCAAATCTGCTCTTGAGGTCTGTAGGAGTTTGGATTGTGTTTGAAGGTGGGATTGTAAAGGGAAAACCTAAGGTAGTCCTTCGGATTGAAAGAGGATTCACCTGAGGTGGGTGGGTTTTTTCTTTCCTGTTGCTAAGTGGAGCATGCGTTTTACATGTATTTATAAATAGATATATGTTAATGTGTGTTGTTTTCTTTCATCAGAACCTACAGATCACCTCGGTTCTAAGTGCAAAAGGATTAGGAAGCTTTCTGCTAACATCCATATTAGGTGTAAGAAAACAGAAGTGATTAATGTTCTAAGATGGGTGGGAAGACATAGTCAAGCCTATGATCAGAGCATATATTGGAAACTCAACAGGTTCAGGAATAAATTTAACATTAAATTTAACACATTTTTAAGTAATCAGCGTGCCTGTTATTTTTGAGTGATAAAAGCTGACAATTTTAGGGGCTTTTGCATCTATTTTACATTTCAGTATCTTCATTATTTTAAAAGAATAACTTTGACAAATAACAGATGGTTTGAAACAGTCTCTAAACTTCTCATGAATGTTTGAATCTTCAAAAATGCATTTAGATTTTTAAAGAAAGTTTGCTCATAAAAATAATTAGTTTTATGGAAACTGACACACATCTTATGCAGATCTCTGCAATGGTTTCTTATTTGTTATCTTTCTTTAAAGGAAGGTAAATTTTACTTTTGTCTTCGGTAAAATACATCTTGCAACCTTCTTCCAGTAACTAACATCTATATCAGTCAGCTTTTATCATCTGCTCTATCAGACAATATCTGCTTTCATGGTTTCTTGGCTGGAGCAGAGAGTCCTGGTGGCCTCTGACAGTGCAACGTGACCATCACATCTTCTGGGGTCCTCGCACAAATCTTAGATCTTGAGGACAAGTATCAAGATATGAACTCTCTTCAAAAGTGTGGATTTTGGCCATCTTCCATCTCTGAGACCTGATCACTAGGTCAAAGGTTGGCATTTTGGGCATGGTTTATTCCAATGGAAGTAGTGCTAGTTGTTGTTGAATCTATTAGGATAATTATCAATCTTAGAGAATCACTGGTTTATTTAATTCTGATACAACTTTTCTTTTTTTACATCATGTAGACCAATGTTCAGTTTGCTCATCCATGGACAACAGTACTGAGCAAATGATAAACTGAGGTACTTACTGAAGGTAATTTCATGCTTCTGCTCCTCTTGTCATCCTGGACCATGAAAGTGATGATTTCTTGTGATTGCAGCCTGTGCATGTAGGCCATGAATGAATTGCTGCTCAGAGTCAGTTCTAGCTCAATGATGTCAGCAAGAACATGAATGCTGACTAGCAACTTGCTTCACACTTGCTCTTATTTCTCCCCTTTAGTTGGGGCTACTCTTAACTTTGGTTATGGTTTTGCAACTTTGAAGCTGCATCTGATCAAAGTGTCTGTTCTCACTCCTATCAAGAAGTCACAAGGTGAGAAGAGTGAAGTGCTGATCTTTTGCAATTCAGCAGTTTCCTCACTTCTCTCCTCCTTCCTTTTTGAGCCATTGTTGAATAAGAAATAGTTCCCAGCAGATATGTTGCCAATAAGATTAAATTGATTAAGATTTTGTATCCTCTCAAAGCTAAATAGCAACTTATTTACTTCCTGCATCTTCTGCAGAAATGCCTGGAAGAGTCATTACTGAGAGATGGCTCTGTATTGTGTGATTTCCCCACCCTGCTCCTTCTGAAATGTGGAATGCCAGGACCTAAAGCAGAAGAACTTTTTTTTTTTTTCCTGTGGATTTCTTAAATTTTCTCCCTTATATATCCCTCCCTTTCAAAGATGGCAAAAGTAAAGTATTTTTCTCCTAATACCATTTTCCTTTTACCCAGAAACTCTATATAGACTCCAGACACCTTTCAAAGATATTTGGCTCTCTTGGCTTAAAACTATTTGAAATACAGCATCCTACTGTAAACCAATCTTTTCCAAGAGCTTAACTCAACCTGACCGACCAAAATGTTCTTTGTGCCTTCATGACATTCCTCTTACCAATATTACTGGTGTTATATACTCAGCTAACAGTCACAGTAGAAACAGTCACAGTCTAAAACAGTCACAGCAGAGCCGATGTGTAGATCTGAGGCAGATATAACCAGCTTCCAAAGTCAAATGATAATAATGTGAAGACAGTTCCCCAGAAGCGTGCTGGTGGTGTAGAAGAGCACTGTTTGGGACTCAGTTCACTCATAGATCGTTGTGTTCTCTAGTTTCCTATGCTGCTAACACACCCTGGTGCCTGGGACTCCTGTTTGTTCCCTTTTGAGGGTTCTAAAGTATTCATTGTCTTTGATTCAACAGGGTTTCAGGGGAGGGGGAGGTTATCTTTGCATTTGACACCTTATGACATAGTCTTGTTTCTCACCTTTCTTACTTCATGACTTTGCTAGCTGTAGTTCTCCACATCAAACTTGTCAGTGTCAACTTATAGCAATGAATAATTATTTTAAAACTTACGTCAAGGATCACCTGTTTCACACCTGTGAACAAAGGACAATATATTATGTGCCTGCTTCATACTCTCATCTTCTAGGAAGTTAGGTCCCTCCACACCTCTTCCAGAGTGATATTTGTATGACTTGCCAGTGTTATGAAATAATGTGCTCTACCTCCTATATGCCAGAGGAACTGCTATGACTAGGACATCCATCCACCTTTTAGCATTCTTCATATTTTGCCTCTCTTATCAAATAGCTCAAGAAGTTAATTCATGTTGTAGTGAAGAGACAATCCTAGATTTTAAATGGGGAATGTCAGTGCTTTGGAATAGAATTTCTGTCTTGCTGTTGTGAGCAACAAAATATGTCTTGGGACACATGTGACCACGTACCAATGGCTTCAGGTCCCATGGGCTCTTTAAACTCTTTGCTAAGTCACATTTCCAGTATATCATGTTACCACTGGACTGTCCAGGAGCAAGATAATACCAGTACTACAAATTTACTTAATAGGAAAGTTTGTTCATCAATTCTCTACTGATAATAGCCAGAGTCTAAAATTGGTGGTGAGAAGAGTGCTTAGAAAGTGAGTATGTTTGCTAAAAATTATTCTTTCTGCTTATCTCCCAGTATAAACAACAGAGAGATGGAAACTGCCAAACAACAAGTGAGTCCCAGTCTAAACTGGTTGTGCAGGGAGTTGGGATGCTGTTATGAAGCTCCTGGATGGTACATGCTCAGAGCCATACAATACTATACAACAGAAAACAACAGTTACAGATGCAATGTGTATTGTTTTGAGCACCATTAAAAACAGCAAGAGCTCTAAACATAGTCCATGCGAATTCAGACTTGGAGCAGATGATTGAAAATGGTGGGACACTGACTTAACACCCTCTGTTGTTGAAGACAACCTGGATCACTTTTGCTGGGGAAAGGAAAAAGGAGGAGTTAGTTTTTACAATGCTTTGAGCACTGGGATTCCCAGAGGAAAAGGGAAAGGAGAGAGCTGGAACTCATCCCTGCTTCCAAGACTGCCTCACGGATTTTACTCAATAATGTTTAAATGTAAAATGTGAGAAGCCTGAGGAACAGTGAGCAGACTTGTTCCTCCCAGAACAGTCTTTTTTTTTGTCAGGTTCCATTTTGGATTAATCTGGGACCTGTGCTTACAAGTGCATGGTTAGATGTGTATGCAATGGGCCTGTGTTCAGGTGGTGTTAACTCCCACTTCACTGCGTTAACAGTCAGCTGTGCTGCTGAGTGGATT